TTTATATATATATATATATATATATATATATATATATATATGTGTATCAACAGTGCCCTTAGGTTGAGAAGCATAATGCTAAACAACCTTACATAAGCTGTGAATTAATTAATTTTCCCACACAGAGTGGACTGTTCCAAAATATATAAATTTGAATCAGCCGTCTATTGTGGGATTATATGGTCTCTCTATAACATTGTAAAATATTAAAGAAAACATAGAATCATAATATCTAAATTATTAACATAAATATAAATATAATAAAAATTTCTCAAATATAAATATTACTATGAGTATGAATTATGAAATATGAATATAATAAAAAATGAATTTAAAAAAAGATTATATGAAATAAAATTTCTTATTGTATTGTTTTAAACAAAAATCACTGCTTTTTTTAATTTTAAGAAATATAGAATATTATTAATGCTATTATACTATTAATTATAAAAAACAACATTATTAATTATAATTACACTAAATTATTTAATTAAATCTATAATAAACTATATATAATTTTAATAATGCAAAATAATTTTAATAAAGTGAAAATAATTTTCATATTAATTATTTATTTTTATTTAAGTTTCATTTTTTCTGAATTTAATTCAATGAAAACATGAAAAGCATTAAAAGAAAGCATAAAAAGAAACTATATGCAAATATGATAAGAAGCAACAAAGATAACTTATATAGAAATCTATATAAAGAAGATTAATGGATCTAAACATCAAATGATAAGCCTGCAGTAATCACCTATAATGAGCGTGGGTGCTAGAGTAGAAGTAGGTGGAGGATGAGCAGTGACTGGTGAAGACTGAATTGCTGGTCTGAAGGCAAACACCATGCCATGGCGGCCCCCTTGAGGCCTACCTGGTACATGTCCTATTATGCAAAGTAATTATTTTGATTGTTGTAAAATATGTACTAAAACTTTTAATTGTTTTTCCATTTTCTCAAATAAATATCTATCAAAAAGGAAAAATTAATATTATAATTTCTATATAAAACAAATCAAAATATATTTAAATATATATTATTAATCAAAATATATATATATATATAAATATATAATATTAATCAAAATATATATTTTTTAAACTTAATACATTATGCATAAATAGAAATCATTTTTTACTTTCTAATTTATCAGTTTTTAAAAAAATAAATATAAATGGTGTGCCTTCTAGCATTCTAAGAAAAATAATTGACTAAATATAAAATTTTATTAGAAATTCGTAAAATTATTAGTATTTTTTTCTTTGTTTAAATCATCAAATTTATTACATATATTTAAAATAATAATATAATTACCTTGTTGATTAAGTTGGGCTACTGCAGCAGGCAATGTTGTAGATACTGCAACTGGAGCAACATTGATTCCAGAAATTTTTACTTCTGTACATTGATTCACAGGAACTATTGTAGAAACAGTAGTTGTAGTTGGTGTTAATGGAATTTCTGATATTGCTGGCAGTGGGGCTGTTAAATCTTCATCATCATCATCTGGATCTAATCTATGTTGCCGTAAAAAATGCAAGTATTGAGGTGTTGGAGGTTTCTTTCTCCATGTTTGAAAATCCATCATATTGCCTCCAGCATGTAGAAAGAATAGTTCTGATGCATTTTCAGCATATTTTTCTCTTATTGCACGCATTCTTTTCATTTTATGTTCCATAATTCTTCTTCTATAACCCATTGTATCATCAGCAATCATAGTAGATTTTTCAGTGGAATCTGCTAACTTCAATTTCTTCCTTGCAGGTGGTGACTGCAATGAAGCTTGAGAAGTTGGTGCAACAAACATATTTCTAATAGAAGTACGAACAAGTTTTGGAGATGTTGCTAAAACAACTTTAGGTGAACTTTGACGGGTAGGAGATGTGAGAGGTGAACTACTGACACCTGCAACTCCCACACTACTTGCACGTGGTGGTGTACCACTAATATTAACAATTCTACTAATATTAACACCAATTTGTTGAATATTTGCATTTGTTGATGCATTACTTGGAATAACCTGTGATTAAAAAAATAATTATTTAATTTATATTCATTAAAAAATTTAGATATTTATTATAGGTATTATAGATAATTATAGATATTTACCTGTGTAAGACCAGGAACCTGTGAAGTAATAACAAATTGTTGTCCAGCACCTGTAGTAAGAACATTGAGTCCTTGAGCAGTAGCAAGAACTTGTTGCAGATTAACTGTTTGCTGAGTTGTGCTTCCATTGCTTCCTCCACCCCCATTAAGGGGCGGTAAAATAGGTGCAGTCTGCTTATCACTCATTACACATTACACTATTAAAACAAATTACTGATAAATATTATTAAATTATATAAATATTATTAAAAAGATAAAAATTATTTTAATTCTATATGAAATAATTTTTAATAAAAAAATAAAATAAATACATATTAGAATTTTTTCAATATTGACAATGCATATATCATTTAAATATAATTTTAAACATACCATAAAAATTTTTATTTATCATAGTTCAAATTTAAATTTAAGTTATTTATAATTAAATTTTGAAAAACCTAAAATAATAAATATTTATACTTTTTATAATAAAAAGAATGATTAAATATTGTTTTTTTTTAATTTTGATCATAAAATAATAAAAATTATATAAATATTTTTTTATATCTTATATTTATCAAAAGAATTTTTAAAAACCTTTTTCTTTAAATTAAATTAATATAAAAAAAACTATTTTAGATTAAAAAAAAAAACAAATGAAAACAAACAAAAGGAGCAAATTAAAAATTAAAAAAATTGAAAAATAATTTCAATTTGTCAATTGTATGCAATATTATATTAAACTGCACATTTTTTTGACAATTATATGTTTATTTCATATTAAAAAAATATACATATAAAATTAATAATTAAAGAAAAACATATATAAAAAATAAGAAATTAAAGCTTCACAGATTGGTAATAAGTTTATTTTTCAATTACTTAAAATATATGAATAATTTATTATCGAATTTTAGGTCAAATATATACATTTCAACCTTATTCTAAGTAAAATAATTTCAATGAATCAAAATGAGAATGTTAATTGATTTGTAAAAAAAGCGCCGAAATCAAAATTTCTCCGTTCACAACTGATACACCACATTGGAATTTATAAAACATGCGTATTGCGCAAAAGAAAAAATATCCTTCAAAATATAACAGCATGAACTTTAAAAATGTATCTACAATCAACTGAATAGTGAAACGAACAATGTCATTTAGAATATCAAAAGATTGCAACGAATATGCAAACGTCCAATATATCAAGCATTCAGGGCGTTCAAGTCTTCTTATTAGAAAAATGTCAATTTATCTTAATCTAATAATAATAATTGTTACACCAGTCTATTAGTTAAACTTTTTGATGATAAAAAACAAGTTTTTCGATCTTTTGAAGTGTTTCGCTTTCCGAAAGAATACATTTTTCACAATTGCGTCAGTGGAGCCTCGCGGCGATACAAAGGAAATTTTTCGTCCGCCATGTTGGCGTTGGTCTGATAGGAGGGCGGACTTACCATACTGTAATCACAAAATTCTGCAATGTAGGTGAGCCATCCACGAAAATAATTATTACACTCGTGATCGACGAGCATTAAATTGTAATTAGGTACTTCACGTAATATACAGTGCATGAGCTATATCTAATATTTTACAGAACATTGTCGCTCGACTCGCTCAAGGACGCACACACTTCTAAACATGGCGACGGTTCCCGACAAATTTCGACCGCGACCAGATCGTGAGCTGCTTGCTACTTCACGTTTACACAAGCCACGGAGAGATGCCGCTTCAACTGAGTGCTGAATCTGCGATTGGTCAAATGTAACCGGATACTTGGCAACGTGGCAGTATTAAACGTTCCTGATTGGTTACTGGTAAAAATATTAAAAGGACTTGTTTTCCGACTAACAAATCAAATCAGCAACTATTATTTCTGAATGTAGATATACATTTTACAAAATCTATTGTTATATGTATTGCTAATATATGAAAATTATTAATAAAAGAGTATTACAGTTTATTTCTTTATGATAAGAATTTAATGTATAAAAAACATTATTGAGATAAATAAAATAGTTTAATGAAATTATTTGCAAAATAATTAATCTTTTACGAGGTATTCATAAAATAAATATTTTTATATAATTTAATATTGAAATTAAAAGATTTTATAAAAATAAATTATTATTTTTCTTCCATAATGATTTTATATAATGGTATATACGATCGACAAATATAGGCATACATTACATACAGTATTACATCACTTTACATTCCTGGGATCGCCGTTATCCAAATATTTCGATCCAATTTATAGTCAAAATAAATTAATACCATGAAACTATATATATGTATCTATTTTCATATATCTTTTTCATTTAATTAACTATGCATCACGTGTTTATAAAATTAGATGTTTTTCATTTTTTTTAATTATAATTATTATTTGTAAAATTAATTAATTAATTAAAATAATTTTCTATGTAAAAAATAAATTTTTTTTATTCAATAAACTTATCTTTCAATAAATTGTTATTTTAAATAAAAAAAAATTTTTTATTTAATGTTTTATATATTTTTTATAAAGTAAATTTATAAGAATATTAGAATATATTCTAAATTTTGATATTTTATAATTGATGTAATATGGTTGCCGCGTTACATACACTTAAAGATACCACGTGCTACTCACAATTGTTATAATCGTTAATATTAAAAATATAAGCAAGTATAAGTTCAAAAAAGGAGATTTTTACTTACATTTTTGTTGATCTTCATTTTGTATCTTCTTATATTTATGAATTTGTGTATTTTCTAACCAAAATCAAAGAAATATTTATCTATATATTGAACACATGCGCAATTTCTCGTAATACAACGTATGTTAGACACATTTTTAAATGTAATGATAAAGTCCCAATAAGTTTTCACAAAGTAAATCATAATTATATATAGAATATATCGTATATGAATCATAATTAAATAAAAAGTGAAATTTAAATACATTTGAGTTCATAATCTTTTTTTCTGATTCTACTTGATTCTACTATGTTTAACGAAGTACCTGTTTGTGATACGTACAATCGTAAGAATGACGCTGAGGTCATTTCGATACTCAACGCATCATCTTTTGAGTACCACCGTTATATTTACATTGATCTACGTAGTATACGCGATAATAATTTGAAACTTACTACTACTAATAAATAGAAAAAGATAAAAATTTTATTAAATTAATATAGAATAAATGTAAATTTTTATATAAATATTTTAAAATTAAATTATTTTTTTTTCATAATTATTAATTATCTGCACTGTTAATCATAAATTTATAAAAGATTGATTATTATATTATTATATTGATTAAGCTAGTTTTAATTTTCCGGAAATTTATTAATTTTAATTATTAGTTAATTTTAAAAATAATAGATAAAGAAAGTAATGGAATTGAAAAAGTATGATATATAATAAATAAAGTGTGACTAGAATATCAATTATCATAAATATGACTAAACTAAATACAGCTATAAATTCGAAATTATCAAGCATCGTAATAGAACAATTACAACATAAACATATTTGTACTGTTATACAATTTATAGATGAAGATTCTGAAAAATTAGCATCTTTTACAGGATTGTCATTAAAGGTATATATACATATATAGATTTATTATTAAGAAAAAATATAAATGAAAATTTTAAAATTAAATATATTATATAAAAAATTTTTGCAAAATGTTAATTGCAAGATTAAATAGGTTAATAATTTATAGGACATAATTGAAATTAAGCGAAATATTTGTAAAAAGTATGGAGGTCTACTTAAAAATGCTTTTCAATTATTTGAAATAGAAGAAAAAAATATAATTTCTACAAACTTATCAAGGTATATAAATATGTTAAATATGAATATTCAGAATTCAAAATTAATGTTAAATTTAATTGATTAGTTTAGATAATTTATTAAAAGGTGGTTTATATTGTGGTCAAATATATGAAATATGTGGTTTATCTGCAAGTGGAAAAACACAATTATGTTTTTCAATTGCAATTAATATTGCACTTAAATCCAATAATCTTGTAAGATATATTGATACAAAAAGAGATTTTTGTGGTTCAAGAATAGAACAAATTTTATTAAAGAAAAATTATAATAAGCAGGTATGTATATATTTTATAATACTATAATAATAATTTAATAAGTAAAATGAAATTGCTAAGCAAAATATATTTTTATTTTAATTCTAGGTTATAAATGAAACTATGGAACGTATCAAAGTATGTTGTGTATATAATATACATCAATTACTTAAAGTTTTACATTGGTTATCAATTAATTTAAAAGAAGAAAGTGAAGAATGCCGTACAAGAATTATAATTATTGATTCTTTACCAGCACTAATTTTTAAATTTTCTAAAGATCATAAAACAACAATTATCTTAAATCATCTAGCAAATATTTGTCATTTTATTGCTAAAGAATTTAATTTGTCAATTATTAGTGTTAATTTAATTAGTCAATGGAATAATATTAATGAAGAAGGAACAAGTGCAAGTTCAAATGAAAATATTAATGATATTCTAATTAATCCTACTTTAGGAAAATATTGGGCACATGTTCCTAATACAAGATTATTATTAGAAAAACAGGAACTTGGAAACAGAAAAATTTCAATTTGGAATAGTTTTCAATTAGAAGCAGATCTTGCATGCACTTTAATTATAAATGATTCTGGTGTTTCATGTTCATAATATTAAGTAGATAAGGATTTTTTATTATTTTCATTTTTAAAAATTGTACAACAGTATAAATATAAATAAATATTCAAATATATTATATGCTATATGAATTTTGTTATTTATAAGATATTCAATTAATGTTATCTATAATAAATTATCTATAATATCTATAAATAAAATTAATTAATTTTAATGTTATTTTAATCTTATTTGATCATTGAAATTTTATTATTGATTAATATAGTATATAAATATAATAAAATTATACTAAAATTCTATTATAATTCTATAAAAAGTTTATGTTTACCGCTAATTTCAAAAATATAAGAATATCGTCAATAACTTCCGGTGACGTAAGTATTGCAGTGTTGCCATATTTTTATATAATGTGAACAGTAGCATAACAGTTTATAATGGTTATATTAGATTAGAGTGTTTGTTAGAGTATATTGTTAATTAATTGGTAAGAACGATGGCTTCCTTGGTTGCAGATTATGGAACTTCCTCAAGCTCAGAAAGTAATAGCGATGATATTTCGGATGATGCCGATAACACGTAAGCTTTCACTATCACAAGCATGTTTCTCTATTGTTTGTTTTCTTCTTTTGTATAATTATAATTCCTTTAAAATCACAGAAATTTAAACTTTTAAAATGAATTATTATTACTACATCTTTAACATTATATTTTGCACAAAGGTATGTTTCTTTTTTTATAAAACAAATAGCTTTATATATTTTCATCTATATTTATGAAATAAAAATTAAAAAAGATATATTTATTCCATAAATCTTATGTTCTACAATATTAATCTATGCTATTATTTTTATTCTAATATTATTTTATTTTATTAAATAAAATATATAATATTTTTCATTTCTACATATACATTTTTCATTATTAATGTGATTTATATATTTACATATATGATTTTTCATATATAAGAATATTTAATCACAGTTGATACTTACACATCAAATTGAATTTGTTCTTTGTAATCTGATATTGCCTAACTCTTAGTTTTAAGGAAGAGGAAGAAGAAGAAGATGATGATGAGGAAGAAGAAAATAATGAAAACAATGAAATATGTAAAACAGCTTCCAAAGAAAAACTTCCATTACCAACTCCAGATTTTAATGGCATACCTACAATGAAAACTTCAGTCTTCTCAAATCCATTTGTTGAAGCAGAAAAAGCAAAAAGTGCAATACTTGAAAAACATGTGAAAATGACTCCAACTCTTGATGATACAAAAATGATAAATGGTAAAAAAATTTGTTGGAATTATAGGAAAGGTAGATGCCGGTTTGGACATAATTGTACTTTTGCACATGATTCTGATTTACATCGTACAGCAACTGAATTAGAAACAATTAGAACACCACAAGAAACAATTATTTGTCAAACTCCTTATAATGGTCAAGTTTCTATTAATGATGATGATGAAATAGATCAAGAAAATAATCAAATGAATAGGCGTAAGAAGAGGCCAGGATTAAGTCAATCTTTAATACCAAGCAAGAAAGTTTTAAAAATGTACAAAGCACAACAAGCTAAAGCTATTAGTAGGTAAATGTAATTATATCAAATATATATAAGTAATATTAACATATAATTAGCTGCTCTGAAATAGAAACAACTTATAACTTTTAAAACTCAAATGAATTCATACAAATGGAATTGATTATAAGCTGCATAAAAAATAATAATCAAAAAGAATTAAAATGCTTTATAAACAAAAGAGCAAACTAAAAAATTAATCATTTCTTTATATATGAATAAAAAAATTAAAAAAATAAATAAATAAAATGAAATGAAAATATATGCTTCCAAATAAAATTTTGCAAAGAACAATATATATGCAGATTATGCCTATTTCAAAATTCATGAAAGTTTCAAGATTATTTAATATTCAATATTTCTAAAAAAAGTGTTCGTTATGTATATAAAAAATAGAATTTAATTGTATAATTAATACTTCCAGGGACCTGTATAAGTGAATCATAATTCATTATGTCTTGCATGCAAATAGTTTTATAAATATATTTCTATTTATACTTGGTATTCGTAACTTGCCCATGAAAAACAAAACATGTCTTCTTATATTTTGTTATGTAATTTAATTATATGTCTATATATCTCTTTTTAAAAAGAGACCATTATTTAAAAGTTTTCTTTTATCAGAATTCTGAAGAATTTATAAATAGTAAGAAATAAATATTCTACCTAAATATTATATAAAATATCATTACAGCTTTAATAAAATTTTTAGATACTGTTTAATGTACAGAATAAAAATTATCCATATAAAAGTGATGTGTATGTAAAAAAAGAATTATATAAGTTATGTACAATATTGTTAATATTTTTTCTTGATAAGTATTTAATATTTAATTTAGGTATCAATAATTATGCAATTATAACAATGATATATGAAAAAAGAAAAAAACAATTACGCTTCCACTATGCATTATTTTTTACATAATGTTATAAGATATAAAATAGGACTTTATAATTCTATAATTCATGGAAAATGGAAATATAAATGTTTATTAATTTTGATTTCATCAATGAAATATTATATAATTTCTGCCTTTAAATTTTTCCATTTAAATATTTTTATTAAAATTTTTTATGTTCTTGTATATTATAGAAATGTATATTTTATATACATTTTAAATTTCATTAAATATATATAAAATTGATATGTATGAAATATCTAACTCGTTTCTTTAAAATTTAATTTTGATAGATTAATATCATTGTCATAAATAATTAGGATTTCAATTTGGTAAATATATTATGAAAGTTATTAAAAATAAAATAAAAATAAAAATATTTGCAAAAGAATTAGAAATATTTTATATTTTGTTTAGATAATTTTTTATTTAATAAGTTCTTTTTAAAATAATTTGTAAAAAGAACTATACATTTGCATTCAAAGATTTGATATTCTAGAATAGATAATTCTTAAAAATAAATAGATAACTTTAAAAATTTAACAATAAAACTGTTAAGAAAAGTGTATAGAATCATGTGAAAATTACTTCAATTAAAAAATATAATTTTTCAAAAAAAAAAAGAGTTTTATTTGCTAAAATGATTTTATATGCATCAATTTAATAAATATATANAAAAAAAAAATGAATTTATTAATCTAAAAAGCAAATGTAAAATTCGAAAAATATTATATTTTATAAGTTTTTCTTTTTATTAGTACTAAGTTTATGAAAAAATGTTTTAAAAGTAACAATAAATTTCAATGATCAAGAAATTATTGATTTTTATATTTTTCCTAATACCATATGAAAATGCAAGTTTTAATCTGAAAATAAAATTTTCTAATAATCTAATAAATCTTTTGATTAACATTTAATTATTTAATTATTTATAAGCAAAGAGGAAAAGGAATTCTCAAAATACAGAAAATGATAGGCACATGACATTTTATTACGATATTACATGAATACAATATGAATTCAGATCAATTATGTATGGTATAAGTGCATTGATAACTGATTATTGCATCTTCCATCGAAAATATATATTTATATATCATTCTTTTTTTTTTTTACTTCTGCGACTAAACATCTCACAGGCACTTTGTCTCTAAATAATAGTAAAATTTGTGATAAATGTTTCTATGTAAAATAAGCATATATATATAGTATATATATAACCATCACAGTTTATGTTCATTAAGTTATGTTCAATAATGAAACAATTTTTACTGTTAAATTAAATAATAAGCGTTTAATAATGAATTTAAAATTAATGTTCTTTATAATCTTATAATAATCTTCTTTATAAAGACTACAACTCAAAAATTGATATTATTATTTAACCCAACAGCATTTCCAATAGATAAAGAATTTTGAATTTAAAATAAATCTTTATGGAAACACCTGTTAAGTATGTTTGACAAAATTCTTATCATAACTATAATACATAACTCTGACAATACTGTAGAACAGTATAATCGTTAAACCATACTTTTCTTGATTACTTGTTGATATTTTCATTAAAAGATAAGTAAAATATTAGATTTATACTGACATTTTATATCAGACTACTAATAATAATTTACTTAAAATTCATATCTGTTTATAATATGGACAACATTTTTTGTTTTCTACACTACAATTTATAAACTTAAATTTTTTCATATTTTAGTGCAGAATATTATTTTTCTATTAAGATAATATTAAACATTTCTAAAGGAAAGTATTCATACAGATCGTATGTTCTTAAATAATTACATAGCTTAATATTTATTTATTGTATATTCCGTGTTACGTGTATTTTGTATCAGAATTATTTATAGTAATTTTCTTAAATAAAAAGATACTACAATACTCTAGATAAAATAATGAAATAGTGATGAAAAGTGAAATGAAATGATTTAAATGTAAAAATGCTTAGTATATTAATCAATATCACTTGTTAAACAGATCGGTAAAAAATAAGTTACAGTCGAATTATTAAATACATTTCACACAGTATCTTTAAAATATGCACACAAGATTAATTAGAAAAGAGGTATTATAGTTTATAAATTTACCATCATTTATAAGTTTTAGAATCGAAATTTTGGATCGAATTAAGTCAGTGCCAATAAAATATTTAATTTTCTTTTTAAATTATTTAAGTAATTTGGTTTTTTATCATTGTCTAACACAATCAATTCGAAATTATCTTTGTTATATCTCTTTATACTCTTTTATTTTTAGAATCATCGTTCAATATAGTAGTAGAACTACTAGATTCTTGACTATTACTTTTTATTTTGCTATTTCGTTCGACAAATGTCATATTACTATTCGTAACATCGTGAACGCCATTTTGTACGCCATTTACAACTTTATCTATACCATTAACTCTATAATGATCAACTCCGCTTATTTTTTTTTTACTCGATGAAGGACAAATATTTTTAATTTCTGTCGATCCAGATTCTCCCAAGCCTGCAAGGGCGTAATCTATGCAAAGATTAAGAGACTGATTTATACAAAAATCATTTATACAAAAAAGAATGTATCGAATAATTTTCTTTATGCATATTATTCCTTATGCATATATTTTTATCATTAAAAAAATCTATATAATTTAATAATTATACATATCTATAAGCTAATAAGAAAATATATTCTATACATACCATGTAAATTATGGCAATATTTATTGGTATTGTTCCATTCTTCTCGTAGACTAAGATTGAACATGCTGTAATCTGGATTTCCAGTGACTTCTTTTTCGATTGTCAGGAACTGTGGTAATATATTCTTAAGTTCATCTCCTGATAATGCTGTGTACGTTTCAAGCAGCATCAATCCTCGACATCTATAATCATGTTAAATATGATATATAATAATAAATTATTTTACTACATAATGTATAGCATTTTTTAATTCTGACCTTGGATGAGCGGGTTCTCTATATATATCTAATTGGAAATACTGATTGTTGATGAGGAAACAACGTCGACGTTTGAAAATGGTGAAATGTGAATCATCGCGTTGAGCGAGCATGTTCAAATAATCTCGATGAGTCAGTTGTGTTTTAACTTCAATCACTTGGCCACACATTTTTGGACGTCGAATCGTATGAATATAAGACCAGTGACCTGTCAATTTAAATTTATTTATAATATGACATGACATTATTGATATAAATAACATTAATATTAAAAAAGTCATATAATAATTATATTTGTTTGCACACCTTTTTGGCCACGTTTACGAAGACGAGCTTGCATCTTCGGATTGTTACTTTGGAGGTAGTTATGGACAACATCAAAGTCCTGAAACGGTGGAAACTCAGAGTCTGGTGGCAAAGGATCTTTGACAAGAAACTTGACTTTTCTGCTACTCGCTCGTAATCTATCTCCAGTATCGATACCCAGTTTTTGGCACACACATTCGATCATACGACAGATCTTTGTCTCAAAATCCTGCGAATTGTCTATTACATCGAAGTAAGGATGTCCGACCCAGGCGGCGGCTGCTTTGTAATCGAGTTCCCGAGCTAATTCGACACCTTCCGATCGACATGCATGTTCTTCCGTCGAATAAAATTCTTCCGCACCATTTGCCGCTGAAACCATGTGGATGATTTGATTATATCTATTGTCTCGAAGTTCGACACTATTCCATCCGTTCGAAGCCATCAGTAATTCCCACTTATCCTTTGAAATAACTAAATTGAATAAGACAAAAATTAATTTTAAAATTTAATTATAAAAAAAGGAAAATAAAAATTTATAATTTGCTCACATGCAGAAGCATCCATGGCACCACGATCACAGATAATAAGACAATTTCTTGTACAGCTGTCACCTAGCTGGAAGAACGTATTCTCTATCTGTATCATCGTACGTAAAAGATTCTCTTGAAATTTAAATCCTGAAACAAATCAAGATAAATTATGCCTAAAATATTAAATCATTTAATATACAACAAATAAAACTATTTTTGATGTTTTCTTTATCCTACAAATCAACTTTTACGCATGAAACTATCTCATTGATCACATCTAGCTGTATACTTTTTTCGCGTTCACAATTATTGCATAATAGCAAACTATGAATTATTTTGAATATACGCATTAATTTATTGTTGTGTAAGTGATCACGTATATATTAATATTTCTTTCAGAGAATCACTATATATAACGCTGTTACAAGCATAAGGAGATGATTAATATAAATTTTAAATAAAATAAATAATTAAAAAATAATTTTTATATTTTAAATATGTATAAATATGTGTATATATATATATATATATGTATATATATGTATGTTTTGCCTCTTTCTCGATATTATTGTAATATTGCAATTAAAACAAATCTTAGATATAAATATAAACGTATTAAAATTAATTGAAACGTATTAAAATTATCGTAATAATTCACGCGATAATATCTATTTTGAATAGTATTTGAAAGATAAATATATCATGAAAAAATAAAAATTAAAATTTATTTCATTAAGAAAATTTTTTAATTTTTAATCTTTTTATTTAACAATTTGAAGAGATTTAAACAAAGTTCATTTTCATCTATAATTACTTAAAATTACCTAATTTTCATATGTCTTATAAAGATAATTTTTTTTATTAAAATATGTGATATTTAATGATATATTTATTTCTTGCATAAAAAATAACACATAATAGAATAACTCTTTTTAATATTGAACATAAAATATCGGTAAAATTATGTCCAATTTTATTTTAATACAAATGGACATTTTATATATCGTATGATGATTTTTATAAATAATATCTAATTTATACATATCATCATATCTCACATCCCGATTCAATGTCATATTGATTCAAATGAATATTCAATTTTACACGCTTATGAAATATATCCTCTTTTTAGTTTTTAAAATTCTTTGAATAAAATCCTCTATTAAAAGAATATTTTATGCGTATATCGTTAGACAATCGTCTGCGTACTCGGGTCAGAGAGATGATATATATATTCCAGACAATCTATGTGCTCGAGTCTTTGTCACGATACGATACTCGGATCGTTGAAAAAAAAAAAATCCAATTAATGGAATGGTCAATTTCGTCTAGTGGCCTCAATGAAATTCAGCAATAATTCCCAATGATTGACATTTTTGTTATCAAATCGCAATCGGATTCAACATTTTTCGGTATTGCCAACATGAATACGATATCCTTGCGGTATTCTGCGACAAAGAACAGCCGTTCCGATAATATATTAAGTACGTAGAAACGTCTTTACGATTTTACAGATGAACAATGATAAGTATCATGAATGTTGTGTTCAGAGATGCGATTAATAACATTGAACATTCTAGCAACGAATGATTGCATATTTACATTACGGTTGATGCACTTCTGAAAGTTGAATTAAGAGCAAGGAGAATCGAGAGGCATATTACAAGGTTTACAAGAAATCAATTCAATTCCAATAATCAATTCTCATTCCAATCTGAAAAATCTTTTTTCTTTGTAAATTTTCCTCATAGGTGCATATCATCGATCGAAGGTTATCGATCGCTGTATACACAAAAGCATGATCGAAATATAGAGATATAGAATTAGCGAATGATTGAAAGTATATATAAATGTGCAATAAAAATGATCATGTCTAATGTATCAAGTGTAACAGGATGACATCATTCGATGAATCGCACAGGCAGATTTCTAGCAGCAGAGATCGATTCGAATAGCTCTAAGGCGTTTGGACGATTAGCCTCTTTTATTTTCGATATTATATTGCGTGCAGAGATTATCACTTTTTAAGGAAGAAAAAAAAAAAAAATTAAGTAAAAAATAAAAAAATATTTAAAAAAAAAAAACTGATCAAGTTTATTCTCTGAAAAATTCTTAAAATCATAATGACATTTTTGTAAATATAATATCCTATAATAAATTCTTAAAACTATTAATGTTTAATTTGTCAAGAATCAAATGATTAACTATCATAACGTTGATCAATTTAGTTTTAATAATTGTTTTTTTAATTACATGAAATGGAAAAAAATTTCACGATCACAAAGAGAAAGAAGAGAACTTACAACATTGTAAGTAAAAAGGAGAAACGTAATTCGGAAGCGTATAATCTCTGTGATTTTCATATTTTCTTAGTGAAAATAAAAAATAGAGGCTGTTCCTCGTTAGAATCGCCTTCAAAAGGGATGACTTTCTAAAACTCACCCTCACCAGAGTCAACTTCCAAGACCTCCGGCCATCTCGCTTCGTCTTTGTCCGATCTGTTCCTGTAATATCGCTGTGAGGACTTCGTAATCGAAGGACGCGACCCGGATCCCTTTGCTAGAACCAACCGACCTTGAAGACACTTTCAGTTCGGTAAACCTTTGTGTCATGTATTCCCCCCTGTCACGGATTTTCTTTTTTCTTATGCGCAGTTTAATTAAATCGTTCTAGAACGATTTTCATCGTTACGTTAGTCGCGATTTTATAACCTGTCCCTCTTTTTATCATCGTTTGTCATCGAAATTGCTTGCACGCTAACTCGTCCTGTCTCCGCGTGTTACGAGGCCTATCGATTCCCCTTGCAATTAATATCTTTCAATAAATTTCCACTGGTTCCACAAACGAGGTACGAATATCGAAAAACGATCAGAATATTTTATTTGAAAAATTTTGATGAAAACAATGAATTTGTTAATAGATGAAATTAGTATACGTGTATAAACATAAAGCAATATCAAAAAATTTTAAAACACCAAAAAAGAACAAGAATTCATTATTTCTGCATTTAATAATTTGGTATTTTGGTAAGCACGACAACATAAAATTATCTATCATCGTTGAATTATAATCCAATTTGTTATTTGAATGATTTTATATATTTATTTAATAAACAAC